CAACCATATGTCACCAAACCGTGACTTACGGAATTTTGTATATAGTTTCTCCCCCTGTTCTCCCTTTCTCCTCCATACCACCCCCCCGCTGAGAGTACTCTGCAAGCACAGCATAATTGATATACATGGTTGCAAACTACCTAGATCTCCCAGGTACACAAACCCCACGGGTATCCTTCGAGGCCGCCGAGTTAGAGCAACCAATAGCTCGATTAAGAAACACAAACCCCTGCCACAGCATCCAACACGTTGGAAAGATGGTGATTAAGCTCATGTCCCTAAACACCAAAGGGCTCAACTCCCCTAATAAGCGGAGGCTAGCCTTGCAAGAGGCGAAAAAATGTGGGGCACAAGTGGCATTTTTCCAAGAGACCCATTTTAAATGGAACTCTAGACCCAAATTTACCTCAAAATGGTACCCTCACGATTTCCATACATGTTACTCAGCTAAGAAAAGAGGAGTCTCCACAATGATCAGCAATGATGTTGCCTTCTCCCTAGTTAGGAAAATTAGTGACAAAAAAGGTCGATATTTAATTTTACAATGTATGTTGAATAATGCACCGTATACTCTGATTAATGTATATAGCCCTAACGAAAACCAAAACGAGTTCTTGCAAATGATCTTGGCTCTAACTGATATGTATAGACATGGGGAGGTGATTATTGGAGGCGACATGAACTGTCTATTAGATAGCAGACTAGACTCCTCCACCACAGCCTACATCAAGAGTTGCACACTCAGACACAGAACTACACTAACCACAAAAATATGCTCCACACTGACTGCAGCTCGCATGGTAGACCCATGGCGCATTTTACACCCAACAGACATAGATCACACATGCTATACAGCAGCTCACAACAGCTATTCTCGGATAGATAGATTCCTCATACCCACCACGTTGATGGCCCAAATAGAAGGAGCAACAATTGGGGTAATGACGTGGTCCGACCATGCTCCCATTACACTTAGCATTAAAGAAGCGTTTACCAATAAAGGATCTGGCTCCTGGAGACTTAATGAATCCCTTTTAGCAGACCCAGCAATAATATCCCAGATCACGAAAGATCTACAACACTATATAGCAGAAAACACGACCGCTGATTCTGCAATCGAACACATTTGGCTGGCACATAAGGCGGTCATACGAGGCAGTTTTATAAAACATGCCAGCTATGCTAAAAAGCAGAGAATGGCCGAATACACCAATCTCTTGGAAGAAATCCGAACTCTAACACATTCAAACAAAAGAGACCCAAACCCAACCACAAAAACAAAACTCCTAGCTCTCCAAAACAAACTGAACAACATTGAGCTAGCCAAAACAACTTACCTACTCAGGAAATTGAAACACAATTTATTTACGAGTGGCAACAAAGCTGGTGCAATATTGGCATCACAACTGAAAAAGAGGAATGTCGCCTCCAGAATCGCCTTCCTAAACAACCCCAAGGGCATAAAAGTAACGAACCCCCAAAACATTGTAGACCAATTCGCTCAATACTACGGCAAATTATATAACCTCAACCAGGACCCCAATGTACACATACCAACCCCAGACAAAATAGATGACTTCCTAGCTGCCTTAGATCTCCCCAAACTGACAGAAGACGACCTAGCACCCCTGACAAGACCCTTCTCTCTAGACGAACTCACGAAAGCCATCTCTCAACTCCCAGCACACAAATCACCGGGCCCCGATGGTTTAACAAATGAATACTATAAAACTTTCTCACCAACCATAGCGCCATTGCTCCTCCAATTAGTCAACAAATGCGCTACAACAGGTGCGCTCCCAGAAGAAATGCTCTTGGCACATATCTCTACTCTCCCCAAACCCGGCAAACCCCCTACACAATGCAAAAACTTCCGGCCTATATCCCTCCTAAATGGAGATGCCAAGCTATACGCGAAGCTTCTTAGCAACCGGCTCGCCCCCCTCCTGCATAAAATAATCCACAACGACCAATCTGGGTTTATCAGAGGCCGCCAAGGCTCAGACAACACCAGAAAAATTTTAAACATGATCTCCACACTGGAGTCCAACAGATCATCAGGCCTCCTCCTCGCCCTAGACGCGGAGAAGGCCTTCGATCGCCTAAATTGGGCCTATATGACTAAAGTATTAGCACAATTTAACTTTCCAGAATCCACCATAAATAGCATCATGGCTCTATACCACCGTCCAGCAGCGAAAGTATCACATGGAGGGTTCCTCTCTACGGCATTCTCCATCACAAATGGCACCCGCCAGGGATGCCCCTTATCGCCCCTTCTGTACATACTTGCCCTAGAACCCCTGGCACAAAAGATCCGAACACACCCCGAGATACTAGGAGTCAATATCCGCAACAAAATGTACAGTCTAGCTTGTTTGCCGACGACATATTTATAGCATTGTCGGACCCACAAAATTCTCTACCCCCCCTGTTAGACCTCCTACAGGAATTTGGCAATATTTCCTACTACCGCCTCAACCAAGACAAAACCCAAGCTCTACCAATAAACCTGCCAAAGCCCTTGCTGGACACACTCCAGACCTCATACCAGTTCGACTGGAAACCACACTCTCTCACATACCTGGGAATAAAGATAGCACCCACAATCTCTGCAACTTCACAACTAAACTACAAACCTCTAATTACATTATGTAAAGCGGAAATGAACAGATGGAAACACGCAAAAATCTCATGGTTGGGAAGAATTAACACGTACAAAATGATGATCCTCCCACGTATCCTTTATATCTTTAGGATGATACCGTTAGGGATCACGCCCCAATTTTGTAAAGCACTACAAAAATTATGTGGCGCTTATATCTGGAGCAGGAAAAGACCCCGGGTATCCCTAGCACTTCTCCAGACCGCCCCACGACTTGGAGGAGTGGGTCTCCCAAACCTGAGACAATACCACAGAGCAGCGATCCTCTCCACAGGCATACTCCTTCACGCTACACCAGGCACATTACAGTGGGTGGACATGGAAAGAACACAATTTACAGGCATGTCTCTAACCGACTACCTATGGACACCAAGGAAGTTTAGAACTAAACGCACAGACCTGTTCCCAACCACACAACTCACAATATCCATATGGGACACCTTTATGGAGACTATAGGCCACAAGGACACACTACACACCAAATCCCCACTCTCAGTCTTGAGAACAATAGTACCTAACATTCCCCTCAAAGACTGGAACACGGCGGGAGTGGCAACAATATCACAGCTCTTAGACGCCAAAGGCATACTACCATTCCCAATACTACAAACGCACTGGCAACTCCCAAACAGGGCTATCTTTTCCTACCTACAACTAAAAAGCGTGATATAAACACACACACCCCCAATACATACAACACCAGCCGCGACTAGACTCACCTCTCACTTACTCCTAGACAGATGTTGGGCAGCACCCACAAAACCCAAAGCACTCATGCTATGTTACAAAGCATGGCAGGAACTCTCAACACCCACATCGCACCCCTACAAACTCCACTGGGAGACAGACTGCGGGACAGCACTGACTGACTGCGACTGGCTACGCGCCCTCAACGGTCTCTCTAAATGGACCAAGTGCTACACGCACATTGAGGCCCACAAAAAACTCCTCTACCGTTGGTACATGACACCACAGAGACTCCACCGTATATACCCCAATACGCCCAACACTTGCTGGCGGTGCAACGCAACTACAGGGACCTTGGAACATCTGTGGTGGTCTTGAGATAGTATCCAACCACTTTGGACCGCCGTATCACAGACACTAGACCAACTTCACATCCCTAAATTCCAACTGTCAAAAACATCGTGCCTCCTGCTCCTACTCCCAGCCAACCTCACCCTAATACAAAAACAGATTGCAGCCCTTACAATACTGGCGGCAAGGAACTTGCTAGCATTACATTGGAAATCACAGACCTGCCCATCCTTAGCCCAACTCCAAACCAAACTCACCCAATACAAAATCTATGAAAGAATGGCAATAATATCCCCACAAAAAAAACTTGCATTTGATATGGGTTGGGGAGACTGGGAGGGGGCGGTGGACGAGGAGGGAGGCATACCCGGGCCAGACCCTGTTCTCCAATGAGGGCAAGACTCATACAGTACACAAACAATGCTTGTACCACATTCTACCAGTACTCTCCACCACTCCCCTTCTTCCCCCCCCCCATTCGGGCTTTACCAGCCCCCCCCCCGTCCCCTACCAAGTTTGCGCCCTATCACTAGGGCTACCCACTTATACATACTCATCAAAAATGAGGCATAACTCCGGCACTTCCTAACCCGCACACCTGGGACTAATTAGCGCAAGAACCACCACAGGCTATACAGCCTACAATAATAACTACGTCGGTTGAGCAGACTATTCATGCACACAACCTTGGTTACGGGAGGATTCCCTGGCACGGCTCTCACCTCAGAGCCAGACCACATGGTAGTGTACACAACCCAACGATTTAACAGCCTACGCATATACCTAATTTACCATGATGAAATGCATGCAAAACCATTAACAAATTTATTTAACCAATTATTGTTAACAGGAGTAGTCCCAGAAGATTGGAAGTTAGCGAGTGTTGTTTCCATTTACAAGAAAGGTAATAGGGAGGAGTCGGGCAACTATAGGCCAGTAAGCCTTACTTCAGTAGTGGGGAAAGTGATGGAAACCATGTTAAAGGATAGGATTGTTGAACATCTAAAAACACATGGATTTCAAGACCAGAGACAACATGGGTTTACTTCAGGGAGATCATGCCAAACTAATCTTATTGATTTTTTTGATTGGGTAACTAAAATTATAGATCAGGGTGGTGCAGTAGACATTGCTTACCTAGATTTCAGTAAGGCTTTTGACACTGTTGCACATAGAAGGCTTATCAATAAACTGCAATCTTTAAGTTTGGATTCCAATATTGTTGAATGCGTAAGGCAGTGGCTGAGTGACAGGCAACAAAGGGTTGTAGTTAATGGAATATATTCGAAGCTTGGACTTGTCACCAGTGGGGTACCTCAGGGATCTGTACTTGGACCTTTGAGATTAATTTTCTTTAATATTTTTATTAGTGATATTGCAGAAGGTCTTGATGGTAAGGTATGTCTTTTTGCTGATGATACTAAGATATGTAACAGGGTTGATGTTCCAGGAGAGATAAGCCAAATGGCAAATGATTTAGGTAAACTAGAAAAATGGTCAGAATTGTGGCAACTGACATTTAATGTGGATAAGTGCAAGATAATGCATCTTGGACGTAAAAACCCAAGGGCAGAGTACAGAATATTTGATAGAGTCCTAACCTCAACATATGAGGAAAGGGATTTAGGGGTGATTATTTCTGATGACTTAAAGGTAGGCAGACAATGTAATAGAGCAGCAGGAAATGCTAGCAGAATGCTTGGTTGTATAGGGAGAGGTATTAGCAGTAGAAAGAGGGAAGTGCTCATGCCATTGTACAGAACACTGGTGAGACCTCACTTGGAGTATTGTACACAGTACTGGAGACCGTATCTTCAGAAGGATATTGATACCTTAGAGAGGGTTCAGAGAAGGGCTACTAAACTGGTTCATGGATTGCAGGATAAAACTTACCAGGAAAGGTTAAAGGATCTTAACATGTATAGCTTGGAGGAAAGACAAGACAGGGGGGATGTCACGAGCGTTGGCTATAAGCCCAGCCGAGACAGTGGGGAGAGTGTGGAAGTGACAGGGTTAATGATACCAGACCCCTGGTTTCCTGTTGCTAGTCCCAGCAATCCCTTCTACACTAACCCCCTAGAACACACTTTACTGCCACCACCAAGACTTTAAACCGGGCATCTTAGGTTACCCCACACACAGGAGAATTATAGAATCACAGTTCTACTTTTACTGATCAAACACATACAATTAACACTTTTTGGTAACGTGTTTACCTGAGCTTTCCTCTGGAGAGTGAAGCTCGTAGAGAACAGAGACACAAGCTGATTAAGTAAACATTTAATCTGACAAAAAAAGATGCACAGTGCTGAGTACAAAATACAGAAATAAATGACATACAGATAACAAATTGCAAAACAGTACATAAAATAAAATAGGAGAAAACACAAGAAATTCCTTACATATATTTACCCCATATAGAATTCTTGTGGGAGTCTTAGATGGTATAGGTCTCCTAGAAGTTGCTGACCAAAAGCAAAATGATTAACTCTCTGGATAGTCCGATACCCTCATTAATATATCTAAACTAGTTGTTGCTCAGTGAGCAGACCCCTGGGGGGGATCAGAGGGGGTTGGTCTGGCAGTTTATTGCCCACTCTATGCAATTCCTTGTGTCCAGCTCTGGTGATGGCTATCTAGATGTTTTATGGTTTAGGCCTGGTGCCAGATCAAAGACCACAATAAATGTCATCCCAAGGTTTACAAAAAAAACCAACTCTTAACATATATCAATACATCAAACACCAACTCATGCTTTTGGCATGACAGGGGATATGATAGAAACATTTAAATATATAAAGGGAATCAACACAGTAAAGGAGGAGACTATATTTAAAAGAAGAAAAACTACCACAACAAGAGGACATAGTCTTAAATTAGAGGGACAAAGGTTTAAAAATAATATCAAGAAGTATTACTTTACTGAGAGGGTAGTGGATGCATGGAATAGCCTTCCAGCTGAAGTGGTAGAGGTTAACACAGTAAAGGACTTTAAGCATGCGTGGGATAGGCATAAGGCTATCCTAACTATAAGATAAGGCTAGGGACTAATGAAAGTATTTAGAAAATTGGGCAGACTAGATGGGCCGAATGGTTCTTATCTGCCGTCACATTCTATGTTTCTATGTTTCTAAAGTAAACTTAGACATCCTGTCAGGATAGTGGTATGCATCTAGTGCAAGCATGTCAAACTCAAAGTCTAGCACGAGTGACATTAACAAGGTTTAAGTTTAGAATACAACAATGGTGAGAGAAATGAACTTTCACCAGGGATGAAGTGGTTGTAGATACTCAGGGCATAACCCAAAATTAACCTAGAGTGGCACATGCATTCCACAGTCAGCTCTTGACAAAGGCGCATTGTATCGCCAAAACGCTCGTTGGGCTAAGTTCCCATCACTGTGGATTCTCTTAGATTAGGACCACTGCCTTTTTTCTCAATCTCTTTTTAGTACTAGGGGGGATCTATTGGTGGTTTTTCTACTACTGAGTACTCTACAATTACCATTATAGCTAGGTTTATGCACAGCATTTACCTACCAAACTATTTACAGCTAATTTAGACTATCTCGGTCAGAATAGGGAACTCCTATTAACCTGAATTTCCTTTAACAATACAGCTACTATTAGCTAAAACAGAGATTAACCCAGACAATAGTTTTATTAGTTTCTTCGCTATACACAAGAACTTACCGTAGCATTTAGCGCTTGAAGATTGTTTTGTGGGAAGGGATTCCTATCTTGGTCGCTTCAGATGCCTATCTGGAGTCCTAACATTACTGCTGTTTCTTGGGGGTCTGGACAAATTTGGCATTTATAGAGCATACCAAGATCCCTCCCCTTATATTATATATTACACACTTTGTTCAACTATATGTGTAGAGTCACACCTACTGCG